CAGCAGCAGCAGCAGCAGCAGCAGCAGCAGCAGCAAGATAGTTCTTTATGGGGGGGGAGAGGACCTCTATTTAGGGCAGGAAGAAGCAGAATATGATGATGACGATGAATGATAGTTTTGTCTCTTTTTGTCTCTTTTTGTCTCCTTTTTGTCTCCTTTCTGTCTCCTTTTTGTCTCCTTTCTCTCTCCCTTTTGTCTCCTTTATTTGTCTCCTTTTCTGTCTCCTTTTCTGTCTCCTTTATCTGTCTCTTCTTTCTGTCTCCTTTTGTCTCTTCTTTATGTCTCTTTGGGGGCTCCACCGCAGCAGCAGCAGCAGCAGCAGCAGCAGCTGCTGCTGCTGCTGCTGCAGCTGCTGCTGCTGCTGCAGCTGTTATTAAACTGTCTCCGTGCAGGAGACAGCGGGGGGCAGAGAAGGAGACAAATAAAAAAAAGAGAGACAGAAAGAGAAAGAGACAGAAAGAGACAGAGACAGAGAGAGACAGTATATATCTCTTCAGGCAGCAAAACTTGCTGCTGCTGTTACTCCTGCTGCTGCTGCCGCTGCTGCTGCAGCAGCAGCAGCAGCGACTGATGCAGGAGACAGAGAGAAGAGGAGACAGAAAGGAGACAGAAAGGAGACAGAAAGGAGACAGAGAGATATATTTATTTATTTATTTGAGTTTACAGCAGCAAGCAGTGCGCTGCCTTTCTTATAGAACTAAAAAAAGGAGCCGTGCTGCAGCAGCTGCAGCAGCTGCAGCAGCTGCATGCATTGCTGCTGCCGCAGCTGCAGCAGCTGCAGCAGCAGCAGCAGCAACAGCGCTGGCTGCAGCAGCAGCAGCAGCAGCAGCAGCAGCAGCACCAGCAACTGATTGCTGTGGTATTATTAAGGTGTCTCCTTTTGTATTCTCTGGTTGTCGTGTTAGAGACCCAGTATGCATGCATGCATGCATGCACGCATGCATGCATGCATGCATGCATGCGTTTGGGGCTGTATATGCATGCATAGATTTGGGGCTGTACATATGTGCATGCATGCATGCATGCATGCATGCGTGCGTTTGGGGCTGTACATGCATGCAACATGCATGCATTGGGGGCCGTGCATGCATGCATGCATGCATGCGTGTGGGGCTGTGCATGCATGCATGCATGCATGCATGCATGCATGCGTACATTTGGGGCTGTGCATGCATGCATGCATGCATGCACAGCCCCAGAGGTCGCCACGAGCGATTGATTGTTGTTTGGGTGTATAGCGGGAGGAAGAGAAGGATGAGGAGGAGACAAAAAAAAGAGACAAACAAACGGAGACAAAACAACATTTTATTATATATATTTATATTTATTCTTACTTATATATATATATATATAT